AACAATGAATTAATAATTATAGTGCTGCACTTTTAGCTGCTGTATTGAGATAGGATCATACTTTCCATCTGCTAGATCAGGGCTCTGCAACTTGTATCTCTGGAGACACAAGTGGCTCTTTGGCTTCCTTGATATTTCAAATGATGAAATATTGCTCTGTTTTTTTGTTTCATTCTTTTTTAAGTGTTGCCATGGAAAAACACTGACTATCCTGGCCCTCGTGGTAAATTTGATCTAGAACCAACATCCAAACCTAACTCCTCACTTATATAAATATTTTATTAATACTCTTTACTACACCAGAATTTTCACATAACTTTTATACTTTTGGAACCCTGGTCACATTTAATTGTGATTATTAAATTAGGGTATTATGACCAGTTCCTCAGTACTTGAGCAGTTTACCAAATACATTTTACACTTGCTCAATTAAACATATTTAAGGTGTGATACTCTGATTAGGGTACAATTTTGGAGTACTCTATGTATGAATGATTGCTCTCTGGATCACTTTTTTTAAGGTTTTGCTGACTGTAGTTGCCTTTATTTGGAAGTAGTTTGACAGTAAAGTGGGTAATGAGAGAGAGGGAAGACATGCGGCCTGGGTCCACTGCCACGATGCCTAAAGCCTCAATATGTGGGTTGTGCTTTGCCCCTGCGCCATCACAGCAACCCCTCTGGATTACTTTTTAAAAACAAAAAACACTGCCATAAATATTGTCTATTGCTGCAGCGGCCATCCCACCCCATGAAAGTAGGGTGACACGCCGTGGTGGGTGTCCCTTATTTTGATTTCTGAAAGGTGGCAACCCTAGATGAGGGAGAAACAAACTTAACATTCACTGCAAAACAAAAAAACAAAACTATAGTTTTAAAGCAGTCCCGGTTCCCACTTGGGTTTTAATTTTCCTTTTTTATGTTCAGCATTTTAATGTTGCACGTAATCCACATTTTACTGAATTTCCTTAAGCAGCCAGTGAACCTACTTGTCAATATTTCCTTGTAAGTAGTTTTTCTTACTTATGAGCTGTACTAGTACCTTACTAACCCAACAAGTATGCTTACAAGTCTTTAATCTAACACTGAAGAGCTGAAGACTCGTCTCTGCTTTGTTGAGATGAGTGCCTGTCCTGACACATTGTTGCTCTCCTGTTTCCTGAGCTCACTCTCTATTAATTTGTGCAGCACTGTTTAGTTCTTCAAAAATTTTGCCCTTATAAGCATAAGAAGCACTCTCTGTTCTTTAGAGAGACATTATGTCATCAGTCTCACTCACAGTGTAAGAAACACCAGGCCTTTATTTGAAACAGAAACCTTTCTACACGGTGCATCCTACTTTACAGGCAAACAATTTGGGTAAAGTGCATACTTGAAATCTATGAAGCTCACTCTCTTTTACAAATTTAAAATTACAACACAAATGACAAGATTGTTTTTCAACCAAAAACAAAGCATGATCATGTTCTGTCCTGCTGATCACAGCTGTTGTGGTCCTCAGTTGGTGTCCTACAGAAAGACAACAATCAGGTTTAGATCCTTGAATCCTTAATATGAAGCTGACTCAAACACCATGACAAACCTGTAAAGCAGGAGCTGCTTGGTGAGGTTTTCTCTCAACTCCTCCATCTCCTTGGTTTTTCTCTTCTGAATCTCCAGCTCAGTCCTCATCTCTCGGATTTTCTCCTCCAGAAAATGCACAACTTCCTAAAAAGGGGGTGAGAGGGCAGTGATGAGACAATCCATTGCATGGAATGCCTGAGCACCAGTTTTCAGAGGTGCTCAAAAAGCACAGTTTGCCTACCTTGTGGCGAACTGCATCCTCCTGCCTCTGCATGTAGGTCAGTTTGAGTCTCTCCTCCAAACAGGTCCTCTCCAGCTCCAGTTTCTGAATCTCCTCCCTCAGAGGTTTCACCTGGACCCTCAGCTCCTGGGACTGCTCTTTGGCTTTCGCCAGGGCACCAGCTGCTGCTTCTTTTCTCTTCAGCAGTGCCTCCAAAATGGGTTCATATCTAGGTGAGCAATATAGTAATTCAAAATTGTCATCACAGTGTCAATGTACACTGAATATGAATGGCATAAAAGTGGATAAATACAATATTTGTGAGGTTTCCATAATTTAAATAACAGTTGCTTAAGGATCAATAACTTTCACTGCCCTTGATGCCCATATTTATTGACTCAGATGAGGTAATTTAAGAAAAATCAGGAATAGATATTTTGGATGGAGTATTTTCATCCACTCAAAGCATTCGATGACTGTGACAGCACCTGTCTTCCAGTGCTTTCAGTCCACCCTGGACGTACTGTTGGACATCCCCACAGGAATTCCTCCTGCACTCAGTCAGGTCCTCCTGAGTGTTGGACGTCTGTCCGGAGCTTTGGCGGTGAAGCTCTACTTCTAGCTCCAATAGTTGTTCCTGTTGGTTTGATCTGAGTTGGCAACTCTCCTCTGTCAGCTGCAACACCAAAGAGTTCCACTTTTCCTGGAAAAAGAAAGAGAAAAAGCATTTTTTTTTACCCAATGTTTCCTAAAAGTCGTGATGCTTCTACAACTCCTGGTGGTGGTAGTATTACCTCCTCCGTCTTCAGTAACTCCACATCACAGCGCTGATTGTTTAATGTTGCCTGACTCTGGGCACAGTCCCTCGCCACAGCAAACAGCTTCCTCTTCAGCCTCCTGAGCTCATCTTGCAGTCCCTGTCTCTCCAGATTCACCTTCCACGTCTTCCTCTCTTCCTCTGCCCTCTCCTCCCTGAGGCCTTGAATCTCCCTTTTTCTCTCCTCTCGTCTTCCCTCCTCTTCTGTCCTGAGAATAGTGAACAGCTCCACAGCTTTTATGTCAATCGACTCCTCAGTCTCCTCTTCGTCCCTGCTTTCCCTTTCCACATCCTCTTCATCTCTGGGCCCTCTCAGCTGCAACACCTCCAACAGTAACTCCTTCCTCCGTTTCTCCAACCGCTGCACCTCCTCTATGCAGTCCTCCATCTGAGACCTCAATCTATTCATGTCCGACTCAAGATCAGTTTTATGTCTTTCTTCAGTCACGTTTGTGTCATCTGTTCCTGCCTTGGCAATGTCTTCTATAGTCTCAATCTCTTCATTGAATCTTTGTCCATTGCTTGTTTCCCCACAGATCTTTGGGTCTTGGTTTGCTTGCTCCAGAGGGGCTTGCAGATCTGAAAATAAGAAGTCAGGCCTCTGATCTGCTTCAAGATTACTTTGCTTGTCTGGTCTCTCCTTTGAGCAACCAACCAAATGATCATGTGTGCTTCTTTTTCTTGTTGAATTTATTGCTTCTCCAGTCTCACCAGCCTCTGAAGCATTATTGCCTTTGCCAAAAGAATCAGCATTCATTGGCAGCAGTGTTTGGCTCTCTGGCTGATCCTCCGTCAGCACTGTAACAGTAGGATGTTGAGGATCCTTTCTGATGTGCACATATTCTTGGCCTGCGTCTGCTGCCCGATCTTGTGGCTCGAACTCCATGCCAGCTTCCTCCATGCAACTTTCAAGCATGGCCAACATCCCCAACAGCTGGCCCTCGCACTCCAACATGCTGGCACTCAGGTTGTTGCCAACTGAGGATAGAGGCATCTCTGTGTGATAAGACATGCCATGCCTGTGGATTACTGTGCCCAAGTTTTGACTTTCTGCCCATTCGGCTTTTGTTTCAGTCCGGTCCATATGTGTGTCAATGTAGCAGGAGGAACGGTTGTCTTGAGGAGAACTGGCTGCTTCAACATGGGTTTCTGTTCGGACCTCCTCTTTGCCTCGATTTCGACTGGACTTACTCAGACTTGCTTCAGAGTAACCCTCAATGTGGCGTGATCTAAAAGGAATTCCTGTAAGCTTTTCACAGCTTTTCAGTAAAACATCCATTTCCTGTAGGTATGGCTTTGATTGTTTGCCCGGTTTTCCAGTGAAGTTTTGCCCTTTGGGGTTTTGGTTGCCATCACTCTGTTCCACGATGTTTCCATCTGTATCCCCCTTTTCTTCTCTGATAAAGAGTGGCCCAAATCCAGTAGGGGATAAGTCCTCCTTTTGGTCCTCCATTGGGTTAGCCAGTGATCTCCTTTAGGTCCTGCAACAACCCTTGAGAAGAAGCAAGGAGTGTGTCAGGCACACAATGAAAATCACAATAAAAGGTTTCAATTTTTAAGGTTTTGCCTGGTCAGCAAATCACCTGGTCATCAGCAAATCTTAATATTTGGAAAATAACACCTTAGCTGAAAGGCAAGAGACACTATATTGCACCAGCGTTTTTTTTTTTTTTTTTTTTGTGAAAATATGAGCCAAATCAGAAAAATATTCTTTGACTAGTACTTTCATATGATTCCAGTGGGTCAAGCACTGATAATCAAAGACACCAATCTAGTCAGCAAGCAGGAACGCCTCTGTGTGAGCAAATGTTTTGGCTCTTTTGCTTCTCTGGATCATTCAGGTGACTGATAAGACCTTATCAAAGATGAGGTAATTTCAGGACAATTTGTAGCTTATCATTCTACAGCAAGAAATAATGTAAAATATTTAAAACAGTTGCCAGTGTGTAGCCAGTGGTGGACCTAATCCAGCTGACCATATCCCATGCACATGTAAGCTTTCATAAGTTAAGCCTTTAACAAATCTACAGGAAGTGTGAAGTGAATTCTGAATGCTAATCCATTAAATGTTTTCCACTTCTTTTTTACCTTAAGTCCTGTGGTCATATCAGTGGCTGTCAACGCTGCATCGCTCCTTTGAGTTGTGAAGCCAGGTTACCCTAACATATGTCATCCTCTGCTGTCAGTACCTTGCTTAGTGTCTCATATCTGCAACAGTGACAGATTGACTCCATACCATCCTTGCTGTCTTGGTTTCTTTTGGAAGTAACACAGAGGTTTCCAGAGAACATCTAAGTTCCAATCCTGAGGAACGTGGACTTAAAACTCTTTGGTTTTCACACTCTTTGGTTTTTATTTTTACAAAGTAAATGCTGTTACTCATATGATCTTGCGCTGACTCGTGTTTTAGACTAGTGCCAGAACATTCTGTTTATTACGTTCAAACTGAAAACAGCTGTGCTTATTTTATAAAGATGTTTCTATCATGCCAGTGGTATACCTCGCTGACACTGATGACCTGTTAACGGAGGGCTTAGGTTAATATGGCGAGACGCTGAAAGCTGTGATGCCATAGGGACCTCTGGGTCCGTGGAGCAGAGCAGCTTTGAAAATGGCATGCTACTGACAGCTGTCCCTTCAGGGGTCAGGGGTCCAGGCGTCAAAGCTTTTTGGAATGTTTGGACATGCCTCAGCAGGCCTATTCATGATTTCACATATAAACACTGTAATGCCATGGGTACTAAAGCCAGCCTGATGGATTTGAAATTCCAGCAAGTGGCACTGCATGCGTCCAAGAGCATTACAATAACATGTCATTGTGTCTATCTATAGACGAGTATGTTTGTTTTCCAGTTTTAAATACTGTAGTGTCTTTTTGTAGATTTAAGACTTTTCTAGAAGACTAAGAGGAAACTGACTAGATTGAGTCAATGATGTCTTTACGGCAGAAGTTAGTGGGGCAGAAAGGGCGTGATGCTATTTTCCAACACCAAGCTGCTTTTTGGATACATCCAAGTTGATTCTAGTCTGTTCAAAACATCTGTCCTCTTGGTTGGCATCACATTTAAGTTTTACAAAAATAAAACTCTGAGCAGGATAAGAAAACGACCGGCTGTCTTGTTGCAGCACAGATGTGGACAAGAGGCATCCAGACTGACCAGTGACCTACATCTGATGCAAACATAAATGTAAACATTTCCACTTTTTCAAGTAAAAGTCCCTCATCTAATGTTTATAAAGTTGTAAAATATAAACATTTTTGCTTGTCAAATAGAAGTCCTCTTTCTTTGCAATAGTAGAACATTGTCAGCCTCAAAATTCAAACTTGGTCAAACCACAAAACGTCAATTGTAATTCAACTGTACTTACAATTAGCATATCCCAGGTCCTTTTTCAGTGTGGCGTCTCCTGATGGTAAATGTGTGGAAGGAGTTGAAAAGTTTGTAGTTGAGATGACAAAAGAAAGCTGAGTGGTTGGGGAATGAGTGGGAGAATGGGGTGCGGATAAACTCTAAGAGGAGGGGAGGGTGAAAAAGACAGCTGAGCCGACCTCCTTCTTCCCTCGCACTCACCGTGCTGCTATGTGTGACCATGACGACCCCAGATATGTTTAGGTTTATTAATAAACACTGGATTTGGAGAAAGATACACAGGAGCACACTGTTTGAAACTGATGGAGGAAAATAATTGAACAGAATATATTCATTAAAGGACTAGTTTTTTCTTAAAGTTGTTCAGTGGTTGAACACATGTGAGCAATGGAGGTAGGTTTCCAATGAAAGAGCGTCAGTCCAGGATTCCATCCGTGCCTCGTCATTATCGAGGACTCTTTAAATAGCTGCCTGTACTTTTGTGACTACAGTACTTCCCGAGGGAGGATTGGTTTTCACCTAAACTTCTGACCTCATGAATTCGGCAGACAAGACAGGAAATAAAAGGAAGTACGCGGTAGGGACGGTGAAAAATGATCCTTGGAGATGATGCAGAGGGTAATGAGTTCAGCTGCACCGAGACAGGGCAGAGCTACGGATGCATCCAAATTAATTGGAATATCAAAGAAATATATATGAAATAAACTTCGGTCTGTCTTACTTCACTGAATTTCCACATATTATAGCTATAGTATATAATACATAGAAAGAGGAAACAGTGGTTTCAGTCCAGTGGTCCAAAGTCCGGTCAGGTAAAAGTACATTTTGCATTCCATTTGGAAAATCAATGTCGCAGACTCTGGGGAGTGGGACGGCACAAAACCCAAGTTGCTGGAGGTCCAGCGTGAAATTTCCATTCTCAGTGATTATCTGGGGAGCCGCTTCACGTGCTGGTGTCTGACCACTGCTTTTCTTGTATTCTTTATTCTTCTTTATTAGTCGTCAACCAGGACATTTTAAAACACGGAGGAGGCGACAGCAGCTATACTGCAGCAGGTACAAACACAAAAAGGAGCCTCAAGTATTGAGTTTACACACAGCACACTATCTGGACATGCTTTCAGTAGGATTTGTTTCTTGTTAATTTGGGGTTGAGTGTATTGCTTGATTGCATAATAAGATACATTCAAAGACCACTAGATGGCATACTAGTGCAAACTTTAATCTCACCTGCTATAGGAAATGAACTTGTTGAATTTCTAATCTGATCCTCAAAAACACTCACTGCTTCTAAAATGTGTTGAACTCAACACTGAACAGTAAATTTCAGCACTAGTTGGTGTTGAATTTTATTGGAAAACAAACAGGTAGATGTAAATGGCTGCATGTTTTCAGTAACAAATTACCGAGCCTATTTTAAAAATGTACTTTACCTACTGTCAAGAGCCTGTAAATAAATCCTTTCGAGATACAGACTCAGGGTTCCTATGAAAACAGTTTGCTCCCTGTAGGCACAAGACGAGATGTAATGTTGATTCAACCCTCTTGACCAAATCACCTTGGTGATTTAGTAAGTCTGGGCTTCGGGAGACTGTAATTTACATGACGTAATGGACAACACGTCAGAAATGTAATGATGCACACCCACTCAACTACTGGGATTTAGGGATTTCAGGATTGCTCCCTGTCATGTTTGCCATAAAAAGCAAAGTCTCTTTAGTTTCTTTTTGACTCTGTTCTGTTCATTTGCATCCTGAGCGAAGGATGCAGGGAGTGAATTCGAGAAAACAGGGAAGCCACAGATTTAAGGGGGAGTTGTGGTTCAGGACGAAATGTCCCGCTGAGATAGGCCGTATGCTGGACTCTCTTTTGGACTGCTCTGTTACTTTCTGCTCCAATCTACAGTTTTGTCCAAACTCACCAGAGCGTCCTGTCGGTGTGTCCTCCTCCACCTTCTGCTGCTCCTCTCCTCCCACCCCGTCGCTGCTCCACAAAGAGCCATAACATATCGTTGAACTCGTGTTTCCTTTACTCCAAAGATGGAGAGCATAAAAGGTGACTTTGTTATCTTTTCAAAGCTTTTGTGACTTTTGGAGCCGCCCAGCTAATTGGCTCACCAGAGGACCACCTATGCAGGTCACCATGCTGGGCATCAGTGGCTGAAGTCCAGGCCTGGGACCAGAGATAAGAGATACATTTTTGTGTGATTTTACTCTTTTTTTTTTTTTAAGGATCAAAACTTCAAAGCAAACAGGGTTTTTTTTTCCTCCCAGATGTATTCAAATGCTTTCCCATAGTTTGTTGTTGGAACTAATGGGTGGACTGTTCAAATGGATGAGGCCTTTTTTGATTTCTGTTTTATTTAGGTTATATGTGGCCTCAACATGTGTAGCTCACAAGAATAGTTATGTCTCTTTTAATAAATGTATTTCAAGTTTTGGTAAAAAAACACTACATGAATTTTTGTTGAATATTATTTCTCATTACAATGAGGATTTTTTCCCCCAATCCGTGACATTCTTTCTCCAAGGCTTCCTAAAAAAAACAACAACAAAAAAAAGTAACCTTAGTAAGTACAGGCTAATTTTAAATCTTGAATTCCTCAGTAAAATAATGAAGAACTTGTTAAACAATTATCTTTATAAAAACAATTTTCATCAACTGTTTCAATCTGGCATTAGGGCCAAACACAGGGTGGAGACAGCTCTTTTGAAACTGCTGATTGATTTAACAATAAATCAAGATTCTTGTAATCTCACTCCCCGTGGGCTACTGGATTTATCCGCTGCTTAAAATCTGTGTGAAATCTTACTGAACAGGCTGCAAAGCCAGATTGACCTTTTAGGTAAATCACTGGGTTGATTTAAGTCACTCCTAACAAAACTTGATAGTTTTGTTTCAGGAGGAACACTTTCCTATTACCTATGGCGTCCCACAAGGCTTAATACTAAGCCCTGTCCTTTTAACCCTTGTAACCAGTTAAACTGTGTGCTGTTGAATTTTATTTGTTGAGTTTTTCCTTATTTTTTCTATTTAAAGCATTATTAAAACACCACTGCTACTATCATTTTTTATTAGCATTATTAGCATTATAATTATCATTATTATTACCACTACACTATCGGTTTGCAAATATTGAAAAAGTTATGTCTTTTGAAAGTTAATCTCACTGTATTATGCTAGTCAATGTAAGCAGTAATAATTATCCATCCATCCAACCAACGTCTATACTTATGCACATCCTTGTGGTGTGCATACCTGGTGGAAATCTCCAGCAGTGATTGGTCACAACAGATAGCATTTTCCTATATCCTATTTTCTCAATTAAGTTCTTCACTGAAATCCAGCCTTTGCTGCAATGATTACTTGAGGAGCAATAGAAGAACATTTCTTCCCTCAGTGTCTCTATGCAGCTTTCCCTTAAAGCTAGCTGGTTTTCTGTTTTAAAGACAGAACCAAAAAGCCAACCTCATGACGTCTAGCGTAATTTCTGCAGCAGTATAACGCAGTGATGCCTCTCCACAGCCTAGAGAAACATAATGTCAGAGAGCTTATCTGGTGTTTACTTTGAAAAGAGAGTTTCTGTTACGTAACTGTCAGCCGCACTCTTTGTTTTGAAATTAGGCGGCCATTGTTTGGACATGTTGTGCTTAGGAGTCCAAAGGGATCACTTATTAACTTGCTTAAATGGTGCCAAGCCTTTGTTTTTCCTCCAACAGATATGCATTGATTTTCCTAATTATCCCAACTCTTTCACCAGAAGGTTGCTTTCATTTTCACTTCAAAATATAGGGATGTTTCTGACGGTATTTCTCTTTATAGCAGCAGCCTTTATCTTAAGATGTCGATTGATTCTTTTTTTCCTTCATCACATGAATCTCTTGTAACAATCATTTCGTTTAGTATGTCACATTCAAGCTGTTGCACAACCACGGCCACTTCCCAGGGAGAGAGACAGCTGATGAAAATGGCTGATAATGGGAGATGAGAAAACTGGAAAAGATTACATCTCCTTTGTTCAGTCATGAGAGACAAACCATAAATTACGTCCTCATGTGTTCGAGAAGATGTTTGTGATACTAAAATACAAAGAAGTTTGACAGGCTTGTTTTGACATTTTAAGCAACGCTTGTGGCTGTGGAGAAAGTAGCAAGTGTCGAGGAATGCCGGTCAATCAGGTGGTATACCTGCAGCTCACTGTGTGAACTGCAACTTTAGGAATGAAGTCTACCTGTTTCAGTCAACACCATGGCAACCAGTGTTTAAATTCCCCTAGGCATGCAGACAGCTTCTGCAAACAGCAACAACTCATTCACAGAGTGGTAGGCCACCTAAAACAACAGCAGACTGAAGAGGACAGAAGTCTGGAGAGATTCGTGGAATAGGTTTCCTCGACCATCCAAGCATTACACCGCCAGTGTAATGGCAGTGTAATGGTGTGAAGCATGAAGACATGTTCCCTGGTAAATCATGCTCCACTATCTGGCTAAATTTGATGGATGAGTCTGCCGGTTGCCAGATAAACCTTGCTTGATGACGGCATTGTGCCGAGTGTAAAGTGAGGTAGGCAGAGACCATTATGTTGTTCGATTGAAGGATTTTTGCGTGGAACCCGTTTGCGGATTACGCTTTCCTGTTCCAACATGACTCTAGATGCGTTTCCATTGACCATATAATTGAGGAGATTGGAATAACGAAACCATGCATGGGTTCTCTGCGGGTACTCCGGCTTCCTCCCACAGTCCAAAAACATGACTGTCAGGTTTATTGGTTTCTCTAAATCCTCCGTGGGTGTGTGTGTGTGTGTGTGTGTGTGTGTGTGTGTGTGTGTGTGTGTGTGTGTGTGTGTGTGTGTGTGTGGTTGTTTGTCCTGTCTCTGTGTTGCCCTGCGACAGACTGGCAACCTGTACAGGGTGACCCCGCCTCTCATCCGAAACGTTAACTGGAGATAGGCAACAGCAACCCTCTGGACCCCATTAGGGAGAAGGGTGTACAGAAAATGAATGGATGGATGGAATTACGAAACGAATTTTGCTTAATGAAAACACACCGATTTAAAAAAAATGGATGGGGAGTCAAGGATTTTAATAAAAGGTTTTTGTACTAGGACGGGGTGATTTTTCGAAATCACCGAAAAGATGTTTCGAAATCACTGCGATAGAAACACTTTTTTGCGCATCACATGAGTCATGTGC